AGCCTTCCAAGTAGCTGGAACTACAGGCACATGCTACCACACCCGGCTAATTTTTGATTTGTTGTAGAGATGAAGTCTCGTCAAGTTGCCCAGGCGGGTCTCGAGCCTGCGGGCTCAGGCGATCCACTCACCTCGGCCTCCCGAAGTGCTGGGATTACAGGCTGAGCCACCAAGCCCGGCCTTAAAACAATTTTAAACAGGGTCTAACTATAAGGTGATGGAGAAGTCATTAATTACCTTTGTATCTTAAACCTACAGGCATCTGTCCCAGGGTTTTCCAGTGTTCTCTGTTCAGAGACTTGTTCAGATAGTTGTTGGTCACCCATGGAGTGTCATTCATAGGCCCTCAGCCCCACCCACTGAAACAGAATGGGGTTTAGGGGGAACGCCTAGCTGTGAGTATGGGGACAGGTCTCCCAGGGCCCTGGGATGTGCACCCCTGTTGAGAAGCCCAGCTCTGGAAGCAGCAGCAGGCCCTTGTCATGGGGTCATGGTCGGCAGGAATTGGTGGTGGCAAGTTCCATGGGCACTGTCTCTAGGGCTTCCCCAAGCCTACCAGAGCTTTCCCTCTCCCCCACCAATGCCCCTGCCCACATGAGGACCCCCCTCGCTTCCCCTGCCTCTAAGCCCAGACATTGTGGCATCAGCGAGGGCTCAGGGGCAAAGTAGATATGAGTCTGATCACCACATGGCTTGGAGGAGTTCACTTCATCTCTCTGGGCCTTAATTTCCTGTCCTGCAGAATGGGAGAAAAGAGTGAGAATGTTCTTTGTGTGCCGTGGAACGGAGGAGGAATGATGGTCAAAGGCTGCAGGAAACAGAGTTCAATTCAGGCTTCCAAAGATGATCTGGGTAGTCCCCTAGGAGAGAGTAATTTACACGGGGCTGGAGGGTGGCCAGCAGTGAGACCCTGCAGAGAAGCAGCTTTTCTTCCACCCTGAGCCCAGGAGGCCCAGAAAACTCAACCCAGGAATTTCCCCCACTGATGGCCTCACCCCAAGTGGCCTCTTGCAAAACCCACTTAAAGAAATGCAAAGTATTTTTAGCCAAAACACACTGCCAAATCCAAAAGTGCGGGCAGGAGATGCAGCCTGAATGGTGGGTGCTGGCACGAGAAGTGCTGGACAGCAGTCCCTGCTTTTCCTGGCAAGGTTGCCTGGGAAAAGAAACTGCCCTGACACTGAGCGGCCTGAGGACAGTGCAGCCAAACCCATAAGAAGGGGAGTGAGGGGTGTGGCTTCCCAGCTCAAGTTACCTTGGCAAATTAAGAGGAGCCCCCGCCGAGAGGCATCTCTTTTTTCAGTCTGTGCCCAGGACTGTGTGTCTGGAGAGAGTTGGCCACATGTGGGAAATTGTTTCATATTAATAAAATATGGGCCTACAGTCTGCTCAGGAGAGGGGAGGTTGTAACGCCCAGCTCATCTGGACACCTGCCTTCCTCCTGTCCTGGCTCTGGTGCCCGGGGTCATCCCAGGTCTCCTGTGTTTGCTTTGGGTTGCTCTGGTGCGTGTTTTTCAGCAGGTGATGGCTTTACCACTTGCATAAGCTTCAAGTGCACGCACACTGTTTTCTCTCCCTGGATCCTCAGAACGAGTCTTTAGGCAGGATGGGCCGGGCTGGTCTACCCGCTCACAGCCACAGAGGTTGCAGCTTAGAGAGGCAAAGGAGGGATTGGGACTGCACCCCAGGAGTCGGGCTCGTGCTCTCACCTGCTGCCCACGCCTCCCAGGCCCATGACGCTCCTGCCACTGACACTTCCCACCCGGGATGCATCCACCAGCCTCCCCAGATGCAGATGAGACGGCGTACAACCAACCCGCCCAAGGCTCAGAGAGCTGCTGAGGAGGGGTCACCAGCCCCTCTGCATGGCCCAGGTGGCCCATCCTCCCTGTCCACTGACTGAATCCTACTTTGGTGGGCATAGGCACGTGAATGGCCCCTCAGCTCCAACCCGGCAGCTTTCTGGGTGTCATGCAGCCACTTCCCAGGCTGCAGCTCAGCCTCCACTGCCAAGAGTGATGACATCAGCACTGTCAGGAAGCTCCAGGGCTGCCCCTTCACGGGTCTTATCGGGAGCCTGAGGCCAGAGTGGGCAATGGCTTGCCCTGAGCCCATGCAAATCTGCATCCTCTAATTCCCACTGCTGTGCCTCTCCTGTGAAGCTCACGGAGTTGGGGAGCATCCCCCCCAGACACACACACACACACACACACACACACACACACACACACACACACACACGAGCTATAAAGCAGGGACCTCCCTGTGAGAGATATCCACATCAGCCAAGTCCCCCTACAGGCTGTACACATGCCCAGGAGGCAGTCACGTCTCAAACACTGGAACCTGCACGACCTGGCCCCTCCTGCATGCCCCACCAGAGGAAGCCCTGGGTCTTGTCATACACACACACCGCAAAGTAGGATGAAGTCTAGACTCCTTGGCTTGGTATTCAAGGACCTTCTGTTATTCATTCAGCACTCACTGGGCACAGACAGTGAATCGTGGGCCGTCCCTTCCCACAATGAGCCACAGTCCAGTGAGGGAGGCAGACCGTGGCCAGGAGAGCTGGGAGTCAGCCCATGCCTGTGCCTTCTTTCTTTTTTTTTTTGAGTCGGAGTCTCACTCTGTCACCCAGACTGGAGTGCAGTGGCCGCTTCCGGCCACCGCGGCCTCGACCTGCTGGGCTCCGGCGATCCTTCTGCCTCAGCCTTCCGAGTAGCTGGAACTACAGGCGTGCGCTACCACACCCAGCTAATTTTTGATTTTATTGTAGAGATGAGGTCTCACCAAGTTACCCAGGCGGGTCTCGAACCCATGGGCTCAGGCAGTCCACTCACCTCAGCCTCCCAAAGTGCTGGGATTACAGGCTGAGCCACCGAGCCCGGCTGCCTTATTTCACTTAGTCCTTGGGGCCGCCCTATGGGGAGAATCTGTGAGCAGGGCTGTGGGAATGCTGAGGAGAGCTTTTCTCGGGGAGGGGCCGCCTGGGTAAGGAGGCATTGGCCACGCAGGGTGGGGAGGGCACAAGCCAAGGCCCAGAGGTGAGAAACCACGTGGGGAAGGCTGGGGGCTAGAGGCATTTCAGGTGGCAGAGGGGACAGGGCAGAGGATGAGTGGGGATTACAGGGCCCCTTCTGTGGGCCAAGCAGAAGCTGGCCCAGTTTGACCTCCAGCCTCCCCATGCCTGCTCCTCCACTGTGCAGACCTGCTGCAGCTGGTACCCATTATCATCATGCTGGGCCTGGCTCAGTCCCGCCCCTCTGTGCTGACACCCAGGAAGGATAGAGGGTGGGACACGGTGCTGGGTCTCCCTCCCCTTCTCACCAGAGCAAAGTCCATCCCGCACAGGCCCTTCTACCTACCCCCAAAGCTCACACTTCATCTTGTCTGTTCCAATTTTTGCAGGTGCTTTTCTGTTCTGGAACCCTCGCTGGGCCAGGACTTATTTATGGCTCAGGGCCGGAGGGGGCTGGAAGGGCTGGCTTGTTGTATGACTGACCTCCCTCAGTTCCTTCCTGGTTCCCGCCTGGCATCACCCTGTCAGTCCCTCTCTCCTCACACCTGTCTTTCTCTGGGCATCTCTATTTGCACTCTCTGACTGACTCTGCACCCCTGCAGAAAGTGAGGCTCTGCCCCTCACCAGCTAGTTGACCTTGGAAAAGCTGTTTGGGCTCTCGCAGTTTTCCCATCTGGGAAGTGGGGTCAATAGTGCTTAGCTCACAGGGTACTTGGAAGGATTAAGTTATAAATAATACAGCAGTGCTCCTGGCCCACAATAGATGCTCAGTCAATGGCAGCTGTTGATGTATTTTTCGACCCTGCTGCCCGCCCCCTCTCCCTCTGATTCTCTTCTACCCTCTCCTCCAGAGGAGATGAAAACACCCTGCCCATTCCCCCACCTCGCCTTCAGCCCACCCCCATGTCCCTTCTTCTCTGTCTCTCTGCCTAAGTGAATCAGATCACAGAACTAGCTTGTTCTTTGTTAAATCTATTAAATGCCTTTATGTCTCCCAGTTGTTAATTTTCAAAGCATGTGAGTACAGTGTTTTCTGTGTCTTGCTTCTGCGGTTACGTGTTCCTCAGGCCACCCATTTTTCTCCTGGGATGGCCCTGGGTGGAAAGACCTCTTCAACCAGCCCAACCTGAGTGGCCCTGCATCTTGGGCGACCCTCAGCCACCTTGGCTGGTCCACCATCCACCAGGCAGAGACCACCAGCACAGAGAGAAAGGCTTCAACTCAGTTCATCCCTCTCCACACCTCCTTTGAACTCAGTTTGCTCGTTGTACACTCCATTTTTCCAGAGTGGCTCTTTACTGGAGGGTCTGGCTGACTAAATTAAGGCTCTCACGCCTCCTTCCTGTGGCCTTTATGAAACTGCCCGGCATTAATTACCATGTTTGTCACCGGGTAATAAAAATCTCTGAACTCCCTGCCACTAGATTATCTTTTTAAAGAAATGCAACTCAGTTACAGTTAATAACCAGAGGCCCTGAGTCCTCGGCCTGCTACAGTGTAGTGATTTGTAGCACCCGCTGGGTAAGCCCATGCACTTCTGCACAGGACATGCCCCCAGGACAGCCCAGTTTCCAGAGTCACAGGCTGCATCTTCCCCATGGTCCCTATTCCAGGCTCTGGCTGCTGGCTAGACACCCACTCCCCATCCTCACCCACACAGGCATTGGGGCCACTGAGGCCCGTGTGCAGGCCATGCTGTCCCACAAGGCCCACCGAGCCAGTGCCGATGGAGATGACATTCTTGTCCTCTTTCCCCTTGCAGACCATGTCTCAGTTGGAGGACTCGGGGACAGCTTTTATGAATATTTGATCAAATCCTGGTTGATGTCGGCCAAGACGGATTTGGAGGCTAAAAATATGTACTATGAAGCCTTGGAGGTAAGACAAGCACTTGGTTCTACATGGACCGCTGGCTGTTAGCCCCCAGCTCTGGCACGCCCCAAGTGCCAGGGGCAGCAGGGCCAGATGGGCAGAAGCACAGTCACGCCTCCCCCTTGGTGAGGGGACAGGGAGAATGACAAGATGGTCCCCTCCCACCAGGCACTTTACACCCCAGTCTCCTGGCTCCTGAGTGCTCTGAATCTGGGGCTATGTGAGTCCCAAGTCAGGGAGACGAAGTCATTTGTCCAGGGTATCACAGGAGGTGACAGTCGGTCTGATTCAAAAACCAGGGTTCAAAATCCACCACCCACATATCTATGCTTCAGTTAATGGATCAGAGCCCAGGATGCAGCCAGATTGGGCCAGGCGCCCCCAGGGGAGGTTGCCAAGGTGAGACCCTTAGCTGTCTTCCTGCTAAACCACAAGTGACATAATGAGCATGTCCCAGCCGGGAGCCACACTCCTTCGGCTGAGCATCCAGTTCTGCTACTTCTCTTCATATGGATGGAAACCAAGGCCCAGAGAGGGGAAGACACTTGCCTGAGGCCACACAGACACAGCTGGCCAAGCCACAGGATGTAGGATGTTTGAGGGCTGCTAGGCTGACCTGAGTCCCTGGGGTTGGGGGTGGGGGAGACCAGGACAGCAAGGGGGTCAGCTAGCCTGAGCAACTGGGAAGGGAGTTAGGGAATCCGACAGCCCGTCTGCAGCACTTCTGAGCCCAACTAGGGAAAAGGCACTGGACAGGCTCTAGGCCTCAGTTTCCCCATAAAGTAAGTTGAGCAAGTTGGATCTACTCTGCCACCACCTCGATCTGAATGAACTACCTCCTTGTTTCCTCTAAACTGGCCTTGCCTCTGCCCTGCCTGCTAGGTCAGTTCTCCACACAGCAGCTGGGAGAGCTGGGCATGCATGTCCCCTCCTCACGGCTTCCTTTTGCGCGTGGAGTAAACACTCCCATCCCCTAGGAGAGGCCCTGCTGGTCACCTGTGTTGCCCTCTGCTCCCTGGGCTCTAGGCACCAGCATCTACTCTTCCTCAGAGATGCCAGGCTTTTCCCACCGCAAGGCCTTTGCACACGCTGCCCTCACTGCCTGGACCAGCACTCACTGACTGGGCCCTACTCACTGGTCACCTCTCCACTCAAATGCACCAACACTGCCTTTCCCAACCTGTCTGTCCCATGCACAGGCTTGTTTTCTTCACCTTTATACGGATCTAAAATCATCACGGCACGTATTTGTTCACTTCTTCATTGTCTGTCTACTTGAATAGAATGTGAATGTCCTAGGATCAGGGCTGTCGTCCACTTGTTCATCCTGGAAGCCCTGCTCCTAAAACAGTGCCTAGCACATCACAGGCACACATTAGCAATGTCATGAACAAATAAGTGAATGCATGCGTGGCAAGGCTGGGCAGAGGGAGGGGTAGGTGGGCGGGTGACTAGTTGGATGGGGGGTGGGTGAGTGTGGGCGGTTGGACTGATGGGTAGGTGGTCTCTAACTTCCCTGATCTCACGAATCTGGCCAGGAATGGCAGTGTTTGAAAGACACACATTGCAATGGGCCTTTAGAGCCATGGGGCCTTTAAACGGTGGCTTGGCCATGAGTCTTCCCTACCCAGACCTCTATCACAAGAGCTCAGTCCTGAAGCAGCTTCTGGGACTACTGGCCCAGCTCTGACTGATTCTCAGCCCTGTCCACCGCTGGCTTTGGCTGAGCTCAGACCAGAGCCTGGGAGAAGACTCAGGTCAGCTGGTGGCCAGGTGGCTGCAGAGGACTTGGGTCAGCTGGCGGCCGGCAGGGGCAGCTGCAAGAGAGGCCCTTATACCTTGCCCTGCAGAGGAAACAGAAAGTTAACGAGCAGCCTGGCTCCCTGCCCTCAGGGCACACTGTGGTGAGGCTTCAAGGGAAGAAATGGCCATGAATTATTTAAGGAAACTGGGAGCACTTGATTGAATGGAAGGCAACTTTGAATAGGAGAGACTTTGCTGCCTGCATTTGATCTCCCCAGTGAAGAGCCTGGAGCGTCTCTGACCCTGGGTGAAGGCTGGGCCTCTAGCAAGTTTGAGGCTTTGAAGAATTTCTGGTGGTTCTCAACCTTGTTGACATGTTAAAATCACCTAGGGAGTTGTAAAACCCTGGTGTCCAGACTGCACCCCGACTGCACCCCCAGACTAATTATTTCAGAACCTCAGGGCATGCCCAGTGACAGCATTTTAAAGCTCCCCAGAGGATGGCAGTGTGCAGCCAGGGCCGGGAGCCACTGAATAGACTAGACTCTCACCCGGCCCCCACCTTCAGTCACCTGGAGAGTTTTAAAAGTCCCATGCCCAGCCTCACTGGGCCTATTAGATCAGAGTCAGAGCTTCCTACAGCTCCCAAGGCAGCTCCAGTGGGCAACCAGGGTTGGAAACCACCAGGTTAGACCCATAACCAGCTGGAGTGGGCCTGTGAGGGTCAGACAGGCCCGACGGGGCTTACCCTGAGCGTCACAGAAGGAGGATGAGCAGGGAGAGCGCACGCCCTTTGACTTCCCCCACGCAGTGCTCCGAGTACCTTGTCTTATTTAGCCTCCGCGACAGATGGTGCAACTGAGGCTTAGAAAGGCCTAAGGTCACACAGCAACAAGTGTCAGAGCCAGGACACAAACACGGGTCTGACAGGCCCCTGTGCTCCTGTCTCCGTCTCCACTCATCAATGGCCACATCATAGAAGGACCTGGCCTGCTTGGAACCCCTCCAGGGAGGGCTCAGATGAGGCTCCTGCCAGAGGCAAAGGAAGGAGCAGTCAGAGCTAGGGTCCTGGCACTCTCTCTCCATCCTCACAGCCCTTCCAGAAACTCTTATTCCGTTCTCCAGATGAACAGAGAGAGACAACATGCCCACAGTCGGCCAATGCTTAGGTTGCAGAGCTGAGAGTCAAGCCCAGGCCCTGACTCCCCACTCAGCTCCTGGTGCTGCCTCCTGCTGTGACTTAAGCCTTTTACCAGTCAGTCACCAGCCTGCATCGACTTGCATTTCCCTGTTTTAGAAAGCTGGGGTTTGTTTTGTTTTGTTTGGGGTATTTTTTTGAGTTAGAGTCTTACTCTGTCACCCAGGCTGGAGTGCAGTGGCACAGTCATGACAGTCATGGCTTGCAACAGCCTTGACCTCCTGGGTTCAGGCAATCCTACCCCAGCCTCCTGAGTAGCTGGGACTACAGCTGCACACCACCACACTCAACTAATATTTATTTGTTTGCTTATTAAGAGCCAGCGTCTCACTCTGTCACCCAGACTGGAGTGCAGTGGCACACTCACAGCCACTGCCGCCTCAACCTGCTGGGCTCAGGTGATCCTTCCACCTTAACCTTCCAAATAACTGGAACTACACATGCACGGCAAAGTTTTCCTGATGTATTGTAGAGACCAAGTCTCACGAAGTTGTCCAGGCTGGTCTTGAACCCTGGGTTCAGGCACACCTCTCGCCTTGGTCTCCCAAAGTGCTGGGATCACACAGGCATGAGTCACCATGCCCGGCCTCAACTAATCTTTACATTTTTTTTTTTTTTTATGGAGCCCGGTTTTGCTATGCTGCCCAGGCTGATCTTAAACCCCTGAGCTCAAGCAGTCTGCCTGCCTCGGCCTCCCAAGGTGCTGGGATTATGGGGGTGAACCACCGCACTGACCAAGAAACCTGTTTTTCATCTCTGTATCTGCATCCCTTGTACCTTCAAAGAGGCACTGGTTTATCATTCCTTCTTCTCGACAGTTACTTAACTAGGGGCTCACCCCATGTGGAAATAATTACAGGGGACAGTCTGGAAAGTACAGACTCCCAACTCTGGGGCACAGCATCCTGGGATCTCCCTCAGATGTCTGTGCTCCCCCCAAATGTTGACAGCCAGAGACTCTGGACCAAGTGTCTGAGCCCTGATGCACCTCCTCCACACCACGTGCTTGGCGAGCCGCATGAATGCTGGGCCCCAGCTCTGCCCAGGAGTTAGTCAGGCCCAGAGCAGACCCCGCCAGGTGGGCCACCATGCTCCCACAACAGGGAGCAGGTGCCCACGCGTCACCTCATCAGCGCTTCCCCATCTGCCACTCAGCGAGGGGCCTGCAGCCAGCCCTAGGTCCTGAAAGGAGAGGGGAGAGGAGAAAACAGACCAAGGAACAGACGTTACAGGGCATCTTCCGTATGGCACTGGCGGGAGGCTGCTGCTGGTGGCTTCTGCCGTCACACGGGGGCACTTAGAGTCCTGGGAGAGAGACAGACTTCAACAGAAACACATGTCGAGGGGGAATGGCAATGTGAGGAAAGGTGGCAGGGGCCGATGGAGCAGAGGAGGGCAGTGCTGGTTTAAGGCACCAGATATCCTGCAAGATGGGGGCATCCTGGGGGAGGCAGAGTTCGCAAAGGCAGGGCTGGCCTGTGTAGGGAGGGGGCAGTGACTGTTGTATCCTGCGCCCTCAGTTTGTTTTATTCAAAATGCTGATCACAAATTGCAACTGTGCGTGTGTTTGGTTTTGCTGGAAAGTTTCTGCACTAGTGGGTGAGCTCCATGGGGCAGAGTCTGGGCCCCTCTACAGTACAGCTGTATCCCGGCATCTAGCACAGCTCTTACACCCGGGAAATAGTCAAAGGGGAGCAGGGTATGTGAGTGAAAAGAGGTCCAGGTAGCTGGGTGGTGTGTGAGGAGGGAGGAGCAAGGGCAGGCTGGAGAGGAAGCGAAGGAGCCAGTGCGTGCTGGGGACTCTGTGCTGGTGACTGGGCCAAGCTCTGCAGATTGACTTAATTCTCACAGCCCCATGAGGTAGTTGACAACTCTTGTCCCTTCACACACACGGAAACTGAGGCACAGAGAGAACAACATTTGACCTGCCCGGTGTCACACAGCTTGGGACTGGTGGAGATGGGATTTGATCCCAGGAGCCATGTCTGTAGCATCAGGTCAAACCTCAGGGTCCAGGTCAGGGAGTCTTGGAAGCCCTGCTAGACTTCCAGCAAAGGTGCGGCACCTGGCACCCACTGAAGGTTCTAGGCAGGCAGGTGATATAACCCAGCTCGATCCTTACAGAGTGCAGAGACCACCTGGAAGGGCAAGAGTAGAGGCAGAGGCCTGGCAAGGGCCCCGGAGACCCCAGCCACAGCCCAGGTCCCACTGCATCTGGCCTCGTGGTTGTGTGAGCAGCTCCTCTCTCACCCGGTTCCCAGGGCTCCTGGGCTAAGGGGGCGCAGTGTCCTGACACCTGCACAGTGGCATCCCCTCTCTCCCCTCCAGAAGGCGTGGCCATCGTTGGGTGGAAGAAGCAGAGCCCTGGGCACTGGAGACCTGCTCCTGGGCTGGTGTGGCTGGAGGCCTGAGACAAGCCACTCTTCCCCTCTGCCTGTGGGCAGCACCACGGCCTGGTGCCTGGCCTACTGTGGCGTTAAATAAGGAAACGTGCTAGAGTGCCTGTGAAAAGCAGCTCTTATTTTCTGCAGGTCCTTCTTGAGAATCTGATAAAAGTAGATAGACCCTCTTTCCAAAAGATGCACATCCACAAAGGTGTTGGGTACACAGGCCAGAGGGCCTTCAGGTGAAGGCCTTTAATTGAGCATAGAACGGAGGATGATAGTCATCTTTAAGGAGGTTTTTAAAAAATGTTTTTTAAAACATAGAAGACCTTAAAGGCCACGTAAGAGACTTGCCCTGAGGAGCTGCCCTGAGTCAGCCTCCTAGCAGGCACCAGACCTTGGCTCCAGCTCCCTTACCCCCATCAGGTACCTCCGCCCACAGAGCAGCCAGCCTCCTTGGCCTGGGATGGAGGCTCGGCAGAGCTGCGCGTGCTGCGTCTCCAGAATGTTCATTCTCCGTCCTCTCCCCCTCCCTTCTCTGTGCTCTCCCACACCCTTCTCCTTGCCTAATTCCCACCTTGCTCCCAGGCAATAGAGACCTACTTGCTGAATGTCTCTCCGGGGGGGCTGACCTACATTGCTGAGTGGCGAGGGGGGATTCTGGACCACAAGATGGGGCACCTGGCCTGTTTCTCCGGGGGCATGATCGCCCTCGGCGCTGAGGATGCCAAGGAAGAAAAGAGGGCCCACTACCGAGAGCTCGCAGCCCAGATCACCAAGACGTGCCACGAGTCATACGCCCGCTCAGGTAACCCTGCAAGGGGAAGGGGCAGCAGGAGAGACTGAGGCTAGACCCCAGGAAGAACTGGAAAGACCAGCAGAAGTGAGTGAAGGGAGCACATGGTCTTAGGGAAGTCTCCCCTTGGGAGTTATGTAGAATTTGAGTGAGGGGTGTGCTGTCTAGGCACTGAGATCGCACCCTAAGTTAAAGAAAGTCATAATGTATTAAGCATTTTGTGTGTGCCTGGTGCCGTTCGGCACTCAACACTTGTCATCGCTGAACCTCACAATGCAGATGGGGAAACTGAGGCTCAGAGATGACTTGTCCAAGGTCCCATGAGGGGCACAGAGTGAAGGGTCCTCCCACCCCTCAGGCAGAAACGTCGGCTTCCGGAGCCTAGAGAACTCCCTCACCCGGAGCCCCCAGCTCTCGAATGTGCTTCTGCCCTTCTCCCCAGCACCCCTCTTTATAGGATGTCTCGCCTCTGTGAGAGTCACTTTCTGTGACCCCAAACCACCAGGAAACTGGAGAGCTGGGTCGTCCCCCTCAGCACTCACCACCAAATCAGCAAATGCAGAGTTGGAAGACACGTCAAAACACAAACCCGGCTCTTCATTAACACGCAAGGAAACTGAGTCAACCCAGAGCAGGGAGGTGACCTAGCCAAAGTTACGCTGCGCAGGAGTAGCTGAGCCCAGGCCAGAACCCAGGCCGCCTGATGCCTGCACCCCGCAAGCTGCCTCAGGAAGGGCCCCAGCCCCCATGGCCCCAGGAGATGCCTACTGCTCTGAGTTAATCCCAGTCTTGGCTGGAGGAGAAGACCCAAGGTTTGCAGGAAAAGTCCGAGGCTCACATGCCACTCCGCATTCCAGCTGGCTGACCTCTGCCTTCTTATCTGCTCAGTGGGAACGATAACATTGGTCTCCTGGAGTGAGGCGGGGTCCCAGGGGAAAGCGCTTGGGCCACCGCCATCCGCCGGCACACTCTTGGTGGCGGCCACCACAGTGTGCTTGTGATGCTCTGGACGAGTCCTCCTGGAGCGGTCTCCAGGAAGTCAGAGACTCACGACAGGTCTTTAAAACTGGTCTTCCATTCTCTTCAAAGAGTTCACTAACCAGGGCTATAAACAAATAAGAAATCTCAGGAATAATAAAAAGCTCGCTATTTGTCTGGGACCATCAGCCCGGGCCATAAAAGACAGCCGCTTAATAGAGCATATTGTTCCAGCCAGCCCGGCTCCTCCTGCAGACGGCTACAGCCTTCGCTCCTGCCCTCACCCCATTAGTGACTTGGCAGCACCACTGCGTTTGGATGGCCAGGAGCCACTGTGCCTTTTCAAAAGATTGGAGGGGCCAGGGTCTAGCGCATCCCTCTTCCCTGAAGCCCTCCGTGGAAGAGCAGGATGTCCTCTCAAGCCCTAACCCCTGCCTCTCCAGGAAAAGCATCCCAGGGCCTCTCAGGTTCTGATCCCCAGTAGGAGGGGCAGGGCACACATCAGGAACTGGTACTCAAGTGGTCTGGCCAGTATGTCAGGCATTCAGGGGAGGAGGATCTGACCTGCACACCTCGCACATAGGACTACACAGCCCAGGGAAAAGGCGTCAGGCAGATCCAGGACCAAATCCCAGCTCAGCCATGACTCACTGTGTTACTTTGGGCAAATTGCTTAGCCTCTCTGATCCTCACTTTCCACATACATGAGAGGGATAATAGCATCTACCTTAGCAGAGAAGAAAAAATACATTTTTATTTTTGAGTTGGAGTCTCACTCTGTCGCCCTGGGTGAAGTGCAGTGGCACTCTCACAGCCACCGCGGCCTCAACCTACTGGGCTTAGGCGATCCTTCTGCCTCAGCCTTCCCAGTAGCTGGAACTACAATTGCATGCCACCACGCCCGGCTAAATTTTGTGATTTATTGTAGAGGCGAGGCCTCACCAAGTTGCCCAGGCTGGTCTCAAACCCCTGGCCTCAGGCAATCCTCTCGCCTCAGCCTCCCAAAATGCTGGGATTACAGGCTGAGCCACCGCACCCAGCCAAAAATACATTTTTTGAGGATTGAAATCATGTACTAAAGCACCTCGTCCTGGCCTTGAGATCGTCACTAGTGGCTGTGTCGCTGGAGATGGTGGTGGTCCAACAACCCACAAGAATGGCAGCACGTCCAAAACAAAACAGTGGCAACATCAAAGCCCAGGCCTCCTCCGGCCTCCCCTTGCCCCATCTGAGGAGGTGTGTCCCCTCACTCCACCTCAGCAGCTTCCCAAAACGTCAGCCCCGGGAGGCCGGGTCCAGGAGTCCTCAAAGGCTGTTCTCTGAGAAAGGGGTCTGTGGAGAAGCCACTGTGCTGTCGATGCTAAAATGTGTCAGAACAAACCCTGCAGACTATTCTGCTTTATTTAAGCTGCTGTTCCCCAAGCGGGTTTAAACCTGAAACTTTCGTGACTGAGTCCTAGCTAAGCCCTTGCGAGCTGGTGTCTCAAAACACGTCTGTGGGACACTGCCCATGCCTTTGCCTACCCAGACTGCTGAGTGGCTCACCCGGATTCCCAGGGTCCAAAACTGCAAAATCCCTGTGGCCTCAAGGCCAAGGCCAAGAGAGAAGCCGGCATCTGCCACACATGACCCTAAGGGGCAGTCCTGCCAGGGCCCACCCCAGACTAGTGTATCATGAGCCATCACCCCGTCCGAGGGTTCCAGGCGCCTGAGATCTCTCCTGGGGCCTCTGTGTCCTGAAAAGCAGGAGGTGAAAGGTCTGACCCAGGCCTCTGGCTGGTTCTTCCCCCAGATACCAAACTCGGGCCCGAGGCCTTCTGGTTTAACTCTGGCAGAGAGGCGGTGGCCACCCAGCTGAGCGAGAGCTACTACATCCTGCGGCCCGAGGTGGTGGAAAGCTACATGTACCTATGGCGGCAGACCCACGACCCCATCTACAGGGACTGGGGCTGGGAAGTGGTGATGGTGAGTGGGCCCAGCGGAGGGTGGCCAGCCCCAGGGGTCCCACCCCCCTAGCCTAGCTACAGAGAAGAAGGTCAGGTTGACCTCTAGCTAAGGGGCAAGGCGATGGCTGCGAAGCCAGGGGTCCCAGGCTGGGCAAAGCTGCCCTGAGGGTTCTGAGTGCCCACAGCCCTGAGGCCTGGGCTCAGGCCTCAGCAAACCTGAGGGCAAAGGCTAGGCAGCTGTCAGAGCACCGGTGGCCACCGCTGTTCTGGCAGGCGCTTTCCTGACCCTGAAGCCTGTAAGTCACTTGGGATTTCTCTCTAAACGTGGCAGCTTACCACCTCCACCTCCACCTCCGTCATCTCCCCACAGCCAGCCCGGCCTCAGGAAGCCCCACCCACCCACGCATCCCCACAGAGGGGGCAAGGCAACACCTGCTGTCAGAAGCACTGCCTGTCCTGGGTGCCACGCTTGGAGCATTGTGCTCAGACAGGGCTGGAGCCTGCTTGAACTCACTGGCCTGGTCCATTGAGCTGAGGTCTCACTCTGTTGCCCAAGTTGTAGTGCAGTGGCATGACCACAGATCACTGCAGCCTTGGCCTTTTGGGCTCAGATGATCCAGCCATCTCAGCCTTCCTAGAAGCTGAGAGTACAAGTATGTACTACCATGCCAAGCTAATTTTCTCTATTTTTTTGTAGAGATGGGGTTTCACTATGTTTCCCAGGCTGGTCTCAAGTTCCTGGGTCCAGTCTTCTTTCCTCGGCCTCACAAAGTGTTGGGATTACAGGTGTGAGCCATGGCTCCCAGCAAAAGAACCCTTGGTTCTTTTTTTTTTTGAGTCAGAGTCTCTGTCGCCCAGGCTGGAATGCTGTGGCAAACTCACAGTCACCATAGCTACTACCAGCTGGGCTCAGGCAATCCTTCCGCCTCAGTCTTCCAGGTAGCTGGAACTATAGGTGCGTGCCACCACACCCAGCTAATTTTTCTTGATTTATTGTAGAGAGGAGGTCCTGCCAGCTTGCCCAGGCTGGTCTCAAACCCCCAGGCTCAGGCAGTCCTCTCACCTTCACCTCCCAAAGTGCTAGGATTACAGGTGTGAGCCACCACGCCCAGCCTAAACCCCTGCTTCTTGACCTTCAAAGGTCAAGTGTTCTGTGCTCCTGTGTCTGTCCCCGGACTCTCAGTGTGTAAACCCACATTACATACTGGGCCTCTGGCCCAGGTACCATGTCTCCAGAGACTCCCTGGAGGGTGCCACGTCCATTCCCCAGGCCCCACTCTTGAACTTCCCCAGTGGCCTGCCTTGATCCTTGTCCACCACTATGAGAGAACCTGTCAGATAGTCTAGTCTGCTACAAGGCAAAGAAAAGCTTCCTCTGAGTTCACACCAGGTGAGGTGCTCAAGGCAGGTCCCCGCGGAGGCTGGGCTCTCAGATGTGGGTGGAGGGAGGCGGCCCCTCCAGCCGAGGACAGGGGAATTGAACCCGGGCAGGATGATTTGGCCTTCTCCCACAAATGCCGGGGTCCCAGCCGAGGGGTCAGGACTTGTTTTGGGGCAGGCGCACACCTGCGGGCCTGTCCTCCCCATGCTGAGGCCGCCTTCCTTCCTCAGGCCTTGGAGAAGCACTGCCGGACGGAAGCCGGCTTCTCGGGAATCCAGGATGTGTACAGCAGCACTCCCAACCACGATAACAAGCAGCAGAGCTTTTTTCTAGCGGAGACGCTCAAGTGAGTTGGGGCTTGCTCAGCGCTCTCTCCTGAGGGCAATGTGGGCTCATCCTGGGGACGGAGGGACGAGGGGGTGGGGGTCCCCTGTCCCTCCCCTCACCCACAGTCAGGTTCTGTGGTCACAGGACGGGAGCCGGCGCAGGTTGTCGGAGGGCTGCAGCCCAGGGGAGCCTTGGGTCGGGCCAGTTTCTCCGCTCTGAGTGAGGCGTGCTGATCCAGGTCCCCAGGTGTTCACCACGTGGTCCTGCAGGCTCCCCCGAGTTCTTTGGCCTGGCTCCTCAGCCTGCCCGAGCTCTCTGAAACTGCATCCTCATCTGTGAAATGGGAGTGGTGATGACAGTGCCAGCTTCCCTCCTGTGCCTCTGCAGCATTGCTGCGGTACCCCTCCCTTGCTTTCTTGGCATGAAAGCTGGCCATCCCACTTCCTTGCTGGTCCCCAAAGCAAGTCTCTTGTGCTTTAACCTTTTAGGTTGGTCTAGAATAGTCAGTTCCTTCCAGTAAAAAAAAAATCCCGTGGCCGGGCGCAGTGGCTCAAGCCTGTAATCTCAGCACTTTGGGAGGCCGAAACAAGAGGATTACCTGAGTCCACGGGTTTGAGACCAGGCTGGGCAACTTGGCAAGACCTCGTCTCTATAATAATTTTTTTTTTTAATGAGCTGGGCATGGTAGCATGTGCCTGTAGTTCCAGCTACTTGGAAGGCTGAGGCAGAAGGGTAGCCTGAGCCTAGCAGGTTGAGGCTGCAGTGACCATGTGACAGCCTGGGTAACAAAGTGAGACTCCAACTCAAAGAAAAAAAAAATCCTGTGACCCAGAAGCTGGTGTTCCAGAGTCACAGTTCAGTATTTGTTTTATTTATTTTTTGTTTTTCATTGTTTGTTTTGTTTTGTTTTGTTTTGTTTGAGTTGGAGTCTCACTCTGTCGCCCAGACTGGAGTGCAGTGGCCGCTCCCGGCCACCGCAGCCTCGACCTGCTGGGCTCCGGCAATCCTTCCGCTTCAGCCTTCCAAGTAGCTGGAACTACAGGTGTGCGCTACCACGCCTGGCTTATTTTTGTTTGTTTATTTATTGTAGAGATGAGGTCTCGCCAAGTTGCCCAGGCGGGTCTCAAACCCCTGACCTCAGGCAATCCTCTCACCTCAGCCTCCCAAAGTGCTGGGATTACAGGCTGAGCCACCAAACCCGGCTTTCATTGTTTTTTTGAGACAGGGTCTCACCCTGTTACCCAGGCTGGAGTGCAGTGACAGTCATAGCCCACTACAACCTCAAACTCCTGGGCTCAAGCAGTCTTCCCATCTTAATCTCCCAAATAGCCGAGATTACAGGCATGTTCCACCATGCCTGGCAAATTTTTTAAATTCTTTAGAAACAAGGTCTCACAATGTTGCCCAGGTTGGTCTTGGCCTCAAGCAATCCTCCCACCTCAGCCTCCCAAAGTGCTGAGATTACAGATTTGAGCCACTGTGCCCAACCCCTGTTCATTTCAGTGCCCTAACATATACTTGAGTGTACCGTCCCTACAGAGGGTAGGAGTGTGTGTGTGTGTGTGTATGTGTATGTGTGTGTGTGTGTATGTGCGCGTGCTTGTGTGTATGAGTGAGTTTTTTGGGGTGGTACAGTACCCAGGCTACTCTGCAAAGAAGAATCTAGACTATCAGGGGTCCTGGCAGGGCTCACCTGCAGGGCCAGGAGCTGAAGCTGGCTGGGAGCAGAACCAGGTTAAACTGGTCCCTCTGATACCAAAGCTCCAGGCTTTCCTTGGCCTCCACAGCAGTCTTTCCCGGGACTAGCCCTCCAAGCAGTTGTGGGTCTCGGGCCCCCTGACCTTAGTGCAGGCCCCTCCCAGAAGCCTGAGACTCGTTCCCAGAGGCCCTCCCTTCTTCGCCCACCACTGACACTTTGTCTTGCTTCCTGCCCTGCTGGGCACAGATATCTCTATCTTCTGTTCTCTGAAGATGATGTGCTCTCCCTGGAAGACTGGGTGTTCAACACTGAGGCCCACCCGCTCCCGGTGAACCACTCAGACAGCTCCGGCAGGGCCTGGGGCAGACACTGACCCCTCTCTTGCTTTGCCTGGGCCTCCACAGGCATGCCTTGCCTTTCCTGGATTTGGGACTGTTCTCAAGGGGATTGGGAACACGGGCCCCATCTCAGGCAGACCCCGAGCAGATGTGTCGGACAAACAACTTCTTTTCCTCTGTGAGGAGATGGACTAGGAGATGCAGTGATGTCAAACAAGGCCACTGCGCCAGCCCAGACATTCCTTTCTATGGAGAATTTCTATGAAGCCAACCCACTTGCCATTCCAGGGCCAAGAACCGGAGATCTACATATTGACCCCATGGATTTGATTTACTTCCTTTTGGTTTGGGGGCTTTTGTTTTCAGCCTGATTTTGTCTTTTCTCTACTGTTGAGTTTTATCACAGTTCTACGTATAGTTTTTGAAATCATGTGCTTTCTAGAATGGTATCATCCTGATCAGCAGAACCTTAGAGTGTCAGCACACACAGGATCTGGCCCTGTCATCTATATCTTAGATGCCTTTTGCCCACGTTTACTCTGTTAATTGTGGGTCATTTACCTTATGATTTGAGGAGGGGATCCCCCTTTGATTTGGGCCTACGTGTTACGAATCACTAGTGCTATTTTCATCATTGTAATGGAGAAATCTGTGGACTAGAATAAAAGATTTTATTGAATAAGAAATCTGATTGGACTCATTGTCATCAGCGGCTGTTGGGAAAACCATCGCAGCGTTATGGGAAGGAAGGAAGCATCACCCCTCAGTGATCTCAGGTGCCGTTACCTTCCTTAAACCGGTCTTCACGTTTTCGGGAAGCATAGGCCAGCCCTTCAGATGGTTGGTTGTTTATACTCGGGTTGAGAATGGGGAGAGGCCCAGGGAGGAGCAACTTGTCAAGGCTGCTCAGCCAAGGAAGGGCAGCGTGAGCCTCCCCTATAGTTTCCTGGCCACCCCACCCGGCTCTGCTCCATCACTCAGCAGGTACTTGGCAAGTGCCTGCCATGGACCAGACACAGGCAAGAGGACGGGAACGCTGCTGCGAGTGCCACAGTCACAAGTCCTGTGGGAGAGGGGAGAAACAGATCATAAAGTGACACGCAAACTGGCTCCACGTAGGACAACGCTCCAAAGGGGACAGACGGGGCCAAGGTCACAGCCAGGACCTACCTCAGGGGCAGGCCTCTGGGCAGGGGACCCAGAAGGTGAGGAGCCGTGGGAAGGTTATCTGGGAGAAGGACAAGCCCCCACAAATCCAGACCCCTTCCCACCCTCCCCAGGGCCCGCCTCCTGCTTCCCCTGGGAGGGGCCTGGAACGCTGGGGCCATTCATGGCACAGAGCAAGGAGTTCAGGCCCCCGGCACTGAGGCGAGTACTTCCTCCGCTTGCCCTGACACATCTGCAGCTCGTCCACTGAGCTGAGGGCACGGGAGAGCTCCGTGCCCTTCCTGCCCTTAGACACTTCATCTGGCTCTGCTTGTGAACTTCAGCAACGACCGGCTGTGGATCCCCGCTGTGCGGAGCTAGCCAGGCCACCTCACCCTCTGGGATCTCCTCCACCGCGCTGAGGGAGATCCCCACCTCACAGGCTGCTGTGAGATTAAGCGGGGTGCTAGTGGCGCCTTGGGGGCAGGAAGACTCAGACACCCCCAGAATCTTCCAGAGCGGCCTGTCAGCACTCCTGGAGCAGGAACCCTGGTGCTCAGTGAGTCAGTCACCGCCTGAATCCAGCAAGAAGCTGCACTCTCAACAGACAACATGGAAGTTGTGACTCCTGTGACCCTCCTGCATTCATGGAAAAAAAAGCAAAACAGAAAACTCACCATATAAACATTGTAGAAAGATTAGGAAACAGACAAGCAGAAAGAAAAAGCACTCACTATCCCACTCTCGGGAATGAATACTGTTGTATTTTCTTCTAGATCTTTTTCTAATATACAGAATATATATTTTGCAAATATGGTATTATACTGTGCGTACTGTTTTCTTATAGTCTGACTTTGCACTTAATTATAGATTGTGGACCTCTCTCCACGTCAACAAATACACATTTCTCTCACTGTACCTGTCTTTGTAGTATTCCATCACGGGCTGCATCATGCTTTGTTGGTCTGAACCCCCTTGACTGGGCATTTGGGTCTGTGACCGTTGGGGATCTTAGTTACAAATAGTAGCAACTGATTTTATCACTTTAAGCAACAAAAGGAATTTACTGAAGTGCCATGGGATTGGTTCGTGGCATCTCAGGAGAGAGTTAGACCTCAAGACAGACCAGAAAGAGGATCTGGCCAGGGATCCTGTGGAACCAGGGCAACCTCTCTAGGAAACACTGTCATGAAAACTGGATTTTTTTTTTTTCCAATTTAAGTCAAGGTCTCACTCTGTCACCCAGGCTGGAGTGCAGTGGCACCATCATGGCTCACTACAGCCTCAGCCTCCTGGGCTCAGGAGATCCTTCCACCTCAGCCTCCTGAATAGCTGAGACTACAGGCATGCCACCATGCCCAGTTACTTTTTTTTTTTTTTTTTGTAGAGTCAAGGTCTTACTGTGTTGTCCACGCTGATCTTGAACTCTTGGGTTCAAGCAATCCTCTTGCCTTGGCCTCCCAACGTGCTAGGACTACAGGTATAAGCCACTACATCCGACCCCATGGCTGAATTTAAATGTTTCCAGATTCTACTGTGGCCCAGCCTGGGTCACGTTCCCACCCCAGCCTAGGGCAGGGCTGACAGACCCACTGAGACCCGATGTGACGGGCAACCGGCTGTTCACTGAAGGAAAAAAAAATGAGTTTCATCATCAAAAAAAGGGACCCGCAGGCTAGGTGGGCAGAAGCAGCAGGACTGTTTACAGTTGACTTTGATTTCTTCCACATTCTAAAGAAGGCCAAGAAGAGCGTGAAGAGCACACTTAACCATTCCTCTTTTCACCCTGGTCCAATTATTTCCTGAGAATCAGCTCCTAGAATGTCTCTGTCTCAAAGCCACTTTGCAGTTCCCCAAGGCCCTGGGCTCCCCTGCTGGGCCTGTGTCACTGTCCTCTCCCAGTATCCTGTCCTCTGCTGTATTGCTGGGAGGAGATTGTAAAAATGAATATTTTAAAATGTATCCTCCAGGAGGGCCCTTGCAGGTGGAGAAACATCAGCCTTTGGCAGCTGAACTCCGTTCCAGGATAAAAATAAGTCAGGCCCAAGGTAGGCTAGGAGTAGAGGGGAATGAGGAGTGAGTCACCCTCACTGAAGGTGGGGTGAGCCTTGCAAGCCACAGCACCAGCCCTGTCCTCCAAGCCAGCAGGTGGCTGCCAGGCTCACCGTAAGCCTCATCTGCTCCCTCACTGAGGCTGAGACCACCTTTGCACCCTTTTCCCTCTTGGATGGATGTGATGCCAGGTCCCTCCCGGAGGCCCCAGGCACTGAGACGGCAGAGCACTGCACCCCCGGGAATGGGCGGCGCAGTCCTTTTCCAGGTGCCCTTTAAATGACTGTGTGCCCACTCAAACGGGCCAAATACACGGGGAGAAAAGCAGATGGGAAAACTTGACTTAAAGGCAGCATCCCTGAACTCCAAGATGGGGTTCTTCATTCTGTTCTGGGGAGGTGAAGCCACTGTGGTTTGGGAAAGTGCTGGAGATGGAAAATGGGACCACACCCCCCTCCCCCCAACCCTCATCTGTCCTGGGAAGTCTGACCATCCGTTACATGGCACATTGATGCTCGGCCTCTATGACTAATGCCTCGTCACACTGCTGGAGGGGGAGCGGCGGGGCTATTTTTTGCATCTGAAAATATCTGTTTGGCATCCTATATTTGGAGCCGCGTTTGGTTGCTGCTCAGCCTGTCTCTAAGTCAGAACTTCTCAAACTTGAACATGCACAGGAATCACCTGGGGATCTTGTTAAAATAAAGGTTCACGTTCAGTGGGTCTGGCATGGAGGCTGAGATTCTGCTTTTCTAACAAGCTCCCAGGAGGTGCCAATGCCGCCGGTCCGCAGGCCACACTTTGAGTAGCCAGGCCTTGGAGCGGCCACTCCTTTGGGCTCTGCCTTGTTTGCAGCCCGAGAGCAGAAACCGCTCCAGGTAGAGGGCTCGGGCATTGGGCTGGCATCTCTAAGCGCCTTAATGCAGGTGTGCCTGTCGCCTGTCAGAGGCTTCTTGCCCCTGGGACAGCCGGGTCGAGAGAAGCAGTGCTGTCAGGGAGAGTGGCCACATGTGGATCCCGAGCACTTAACGTGTGGCAAGTGCCACTGCGAAGCTGCATTTTTAATTTTATTTCATTTTAATTAAACTTAAATAGCTGCGCGTGGCTCCCGGCTGCCGTTTTGGAGAGCGCAGAACCAGCTTGGAAATCAAGTGGCCTGCCCGTGCCTCGCCGGACCCTCCGCCACCTGCATCGTTACGGAAATCATCTTGGCACACAATATATCATTTTGGGGACTCACAGATTCCCTTGAACATACCTGGTTATTTTTATACCCGTTCCAGCCTGTTTCTTTTGCACAAGCTTATTTTGTTTTTTCTCACTAGCTGCAACTGGGCATGCATTGGTTGGGGTGAAGCCAGAGAGGCAAGGTGGCGGGACAGAAGAGGCAGCACAGCCTTTGAAACCAGATGCATCTGTGTTCAGCTCCACCTGCCCTTTCCTCAGGCTGCGTAACCTTGGGCAAGCCGCTTCACCTCTCTGAGTCTCCACTTCTCCATCCGTGGAAAGGGAAGGTGGTTTCAAGGGTTAATTGAGCCCCAATGCCCCCAACTTGTGTGCAGAAACTCAATACATAGTACCAATGATTGTTACAATGTGAGCCTCTTTGTAAACTATAAAACCTTGTGTAAATGTGAGGCAAAGCACTCCTGTCAAAAATTTCTCTTTTCAAACAAAATGCTCTGAAACATGGAGGAAACCACATCAACCAGGCCCAGGAGACAGAGCAAACTCTCAAAGCAATAAATCTGAATGCTTTCTGCTTTTCCCATCGAGCAAGCATTTTGCCGTCAGCCCTGAATCTATGGAAATGGGAAATGGGGAGGAAGATTTGTTGACTGTCCGAAGTCTTCCAGGGCTCAGCCTGGGAGCAGGACGCTGGGGCGGGGCTGAGAGCTGGAGGGAGAGGCTGAAAGCCTCCGGGGAGCCTGGCAGAGAGGCAGTCCGCTTTGGGAGATGCTTGAGGTCCAATTCATCTTTCCTCTTCATGGAGTCCCCAGTAATCCTTCCTACAACTTTGGAAGAAAGGCGGGGCAGGAAAATATGGCACCCCCATTTACAGGGGAAAGAACTGAGGCCCAGAGAGTTTGCTGTTCCTGGCCTCTGGCAACCTCCACGGAGGCCCACTCTGGGCTCCCTGCCAATCCCCACACCCCTTCCTCTACCCCCCTCGGGTGAATGCCCGCAAGTCTAAGGTGACCCTCGCACTCGTGACATTTGCTCATGGCGATTGCATTTTTAACCTTTGATCCATCACAATAACTAATAATGCCCCCTTTGCTCTCAAAAGCACCCCAATGTGGACAGTAAATCATATGGCCCCTTGGGCTAAGTGAAAGCAGTGACAGCTGAGATGTTTTGTCCAGAAGTCTCTGGAGAATGTAAAACCCAGCCTGGAAAGACACAGACATAACCCAGAGCTTCCTCCCTTTGGAAGTCAAGCCAGACACTACACTCTCCCTGTTCTCACACATCTCCCTGTCTTTCCCCATGTGAGCCTCCGGCCTGACTCCCCTCCTCAGCTATGCCTACTGAAGTCCTCCAGGATGCCCTCAATGTCACCTCCTCCAGGAAACCTTCCCCGACTCCTCCCTGCCCCTCCCTTGCCACAGGCTTAAACATTTTTACCTGGGCTCTTACCATGCTGGGAGCGGACCCAGATCTGCACGAGCCTCCTCCAGGGGCCGAGGGCTCCTCCATGGCAGGAACCTTGTCTTCTCACCTTTGTGCCCCAACATGTTGTGGAAAGAAATAAATGTCTTCACTCACCCTGCTTCTCTCCAAGGTGCAGCCTGTTGAGAGTGGCCACAAGCAGCCTGCTGGGGAAAAGGATATGAGTTTTATCACAGGGTCCCTGTGGCCATCCCAGTCTGGTCCCCAGGCTGACTGTGGATTCCAGAAAGCACTGGGCGAAGGAGGGGAGTCCTTTCCACTAACGGGCAGGAAGGTCCCAGAAAGGTGGGGTACTAAGGCTGCTGGCCGAGCGGCCGTGCTCCCTCCCCCCAGCTCATGCGACAGGGCGGCCAGGACATGCCCAACTTACCAACCATGGAGACAGTGGGGACAGGCCAGACCCGCCGATCACTCTCCAAGGGGGAAGGCCCAGGTGCTGAGATGTAGCATAGGGGAAGAGGGTCACACACCCCCCCACACACTCATAGTCACACATGCACATGAACACTCAGATTCACACACACATACACACTCATACACTCGTTCACATGTACATGCACACTCAGATTCACACACGTACACACTCATGCAAACACTCGTTCATACACACATCCACACTCATACACACTAATGCTCACACACATGCACATTCACACTCATATTCACACACCGGCACACTCGTGCAAGCACACACTCATATTCACACATACACATGTGTACACACATACATTCATATTCACACACAAGCACACATTCACATATTCATACTTGCACATGTGCACACATACAAACTCATTCACAGACACAATGCACTCACACTCATTCACACACACGCACTCAAGCACACACATTCATTCATGCACCTGTGCACTCATACGCTCATATCCACACACATGCACACTCATACAAGCACACGCATACACATACACACGTGCACACTCATATTCATATACACACGCACTCACACATACACACTCAAACATGCACATATTCACACATTCACACACACATATACACACACACACTCCTACAAACACACACATATTCGCACAGACACATATTCACACATGCACACTCACACTCGCACCCTGACCTGCCCCTCTAAGCCTCTGGCTTCCCTAGCCAACCTTGCCATCTTCAGGGGTGTGGCTGTCTTTGCTCGGGGAACAGCGCACACCCAGACCACCTGGCCCTCTCTGGAAGCCCCACCAGCAGCACACTCCCTCAAGAGCTCCCTGAGACCCCGGGGAAGTTCTGATCCGACCCACAGAATGAGATGGGACTGGCGGCCATGACAGTGGTTCTCCAGGCATGGAGCCCGCAGAGTTGGTGGCTTGGGGGCCACCCAGCAGCCTGTGGCCTTGACAAGCCCCAGGTGACCCTGATGCGTCTGAAGAGGGGGGAACTAGTGCCCTGGGTCACATCCAAGCCACCTGGCCCCACAGCAAGCCCTCATAGGGCCTGCTACCCACCTCCTCCTCCTCCAGTCTCTTTGCCCGGGGACCCCTCAGATATCCTGCAAGGAGCCAGCTAAGAAAAAGAAAACCAGCCGGGCACGGTGGCTCAAGCCTGTCATCCCAGCACTTTGAGAGGCCGAGGCAAGAAGATTACCTGAGCCCAGGGGTTTGAGACCAGCCTGGGCAATTTGGTGAGACTTCTTCTCTACAATAAATCACAAAAACTAGCAGGGTGTGGTGGCATGCATCTATAGTTCCAGCTACTTGGAAGGCTGAGGCAGAGGGATCACCTGAGCCCAGCAAGTCGAGGCTGTGGTGCCCGGGAGTGTGTACTGCACCCTAGCCTGGGTTACAGAGTGAAACTCCAACTCAAAAAAGAGAAAGAAAGAAAGAAAGAAAACCACCCACCGTTGAATGACAGGAACACCCTCCAGTCATGTACCTCCACTCTAAACAGAGTTTAAATCTTAAATCCTCAGTGAAATCACCTTCACTGTGAAAGTTGCAATCCACAGCAACTGATGCCCAAACTCCTCCTTCCTCAACTTTTATCCTGCTCAGTCTTGACCATGGTGGAGGCCCTTACTGAAGGTGGTGGAGACACAGTTCAGCCTTAACCTGCTGGGCTCAGGCGATCCTTCCGCCTCGGCTGTCCAAGTAACTGGAACTACAGGCATGCGCCACTATGCTCGGCTAATTTTTCTTGATTTACTGTACAGATGAAGTCTTGCCAAGTTGGCCAGGCTGGTCTTGAACCCATGGCCTCAGTCGATCCTCTCACCTCGGCCTCCCAAAATGCTGGAATTGTAGGCGTGAGGCACTGTGCCTAGCCTGAAATTTATTTTCTTTATAAGTTACTGGACCTGGTATTCTGGGATAGCAACACAACATAAACTGGGAAGAGTTTAGTTTTACTCTTGAGAGCAGCAAGGTGCTAGGAAGGGTTAACGCGGGCCTGAGCTGACCCACTTTACATTTCTGAAAGTGTCCTCTGGTTTCTGAGAGGAGAGACCTAGGAATTGTTTGCCCTTGCATGTGTCTCAGTGGAAGACCATTCTCATGTTCCTCGGTGGGAGCTTCTGAAGCTGGTGCCCCCGGCGTGCACACCGTGTACCCTCTGCCCTGCGCTCATGGCCTCTCCTTGGCCTCTGTGCTGCTCGGCTTTTGAGGAACCCGGGAGACTTCAAGGGCACCGAGACCTTTCCTCTGACCTCCTTCCCTGCGGCTGCGGATCCAGCCTCCAGCCTCTGGCCCTCTGTTTTTCCCATGCCTTTCAAGCAGGACCCAGCTGTGCTTTTAAAAAATGGAAGCATGTGTGAAACTGAGGCCATGTGGAACAGAGGCCATTTATGGGGTCCAGAGCCTTCTTTTCTTTCCTCTTTGTAACATTCTGGATTTGTGGCAGGGGTGAAGTCAGTGAGCTCTGGATCCATCAAAAGCAAATACTGCTCAAACAGCTTATTGTGTCTGCCACCTTCACCCCTGCCCATGGGTAAGTCCAGCCAGGGCACAACCTTCCATCGAGTGTCCCACAGCAGCCCGGATTCTCCTTAAGCCCCCCTGGCTGCGCCATCTTCTGCTGTGTCGTTCTCTGGGTACTTCCTGTGGGGTCCTGACTACACATGTTTCCAGGGCTTTCCCCTCTGTCACGTGGCTCCCTACCCATAATCGCCATGGGGCCTTTGACACCTTCCCTGTCCAAAGCTCACCTGGTCACCAAGGGGGCCACCCTGACAGCCTTGACCATTGCTGCCTACTGCAGCTCTCAGGGTCTTCCATAGTTGTCATGGATCCTGGTTCCTAGAGGAAACCATCTTACCTGCTCTCACACTGTAGACACGTAACGTGTAAGGTACATGCTGCTTTTTTTAAAAATCAGAGTCTCACTCTGTTGCCCAGGCTGCAGTGCAGGGGCACGCTTACAGCCACTGCAGCCTTGACCTGCTGGGCTCAAGCGATCCTTCTGCCTCAGCCTTCCAAGTAGCTGGAATCACAGGCATGTGCCACCACACCCGGCTAACTTTTATTCTTGATTTATTGTAGAGATGAGGTCTCACCAAGTTGTCCAGGCTAGTCTCGAACCTGTGGGCTAAAGCAATCCTCTCACCTCGGCCTCCCAAAGTGCTGGGATTATAGGCATGAGCCACCATGCCCAGCTGGTACACACTTTTTTTTTTTT